CAGTACTCAACCAGCTTCAAAGAGTATGTCCAGATTGCAGGTCTACTGGAAGCTCTATGTTTTATTCTGTATGAAGGCTATAAAACTTCTCCCCAAAGTGACACGAAGAGCTAGCAGGTCAGTTTACTTTGAGAGCAGCAGTTAATTAGATCAGACACAAAATCTAGATTTGTAAAAAAAGGGTCAAATAGATTTCAAAACTTGACATCAGTGATGTCTCAACAGTTTTGATCCTCAGGGGAAAGCAATCCCCTGAGATTGCTTTCTTTAGACATGTTGTTTCTTTAGACACGTATCTCAACAACCCACAAGGAAAGTATTGGGCTAAGAACATGGATGGATCTGTGCAGAAACAGCAGGAATAGAAAGAGAAGACAAGAAAGGTACAATGAGAAGCTGATTTAGTCTTGGCACACTTTTCAGTCGTCCTGGCAAAGGTCTGTTATAATCACAGACCAGGGAAGAAAAATAGGATGATCTTTATCTTCAGCGTAACTTGTGTATTGCTCTTGGAAAAAAAAAAAAAGCTAGAATCATAGAATCATAGAAACTAAGGAATGAAAGAAAAAGTGTTTTTTCTGACATGTCAGAAAGCAAAAGTGAAAGATATGCTGTGTCAGTCCACTTTGGTCTTTTGCATGACTTCTGGAATTTCTGAGGCAGGATTCTCACTGGGATAAAGCAACGTGACCCCACTGGCTGCTGTGAAACTCACCAGTTTAGGAACGCTGAGTCCCATTCCCTTTGTCACAATGAAACCTTTCCAAGGCACGGAGAACTTAGATAAGGGAAAAGCCGTTTCCATGGGGGGTACAAGCATAGGATTCAAAACACCTGAGAGAAGATTCAGCTTTGGCACAGGGTTCTTTGAGCTCAGCTCCTCACAGTTAGAACGGTGATCCCTAAGGACATGTGTTGTAAAGAGTAAGGCACTGGGGTCAGATAAATATTTGATAGGGACACCAGGAAAAGATGAAGAACGCTAAACATTGCCGAGATGGTGAGCAGTGTGGTTAAGTGGCTGTGCACAAGCCATCCCTTCCACAGGGATGTGCCATCTTGATATTCTTTGTTTACTGAAAAGCAAAGGAGCACTGGATGCAGGTAGTGTATCCTCCAGGAAGCCAGCAGTGAAAAACAAGCAGCTTATCTAGTCCTGCAAACCCCCCCCCCTGCTTCCCTTCCCTCCAGCAACAGAGAGCACGATAAAAGCCAAGACGAGTCTCCGTAGGAACCCAAAGCTGTGAATCTTCCTCTCACCCTGTCTGGCCAAAATCCCTTCATTCGCAGGGGGAATTTAGGTCGGAGATCACCAGTTCTAGCTCTCCGCCAGAATAACGGAGGAGAGGGTTAGCAAGGAAGAAAAACAGCCATAACTCAGCAAGTACCGTCAGAAAGAGAGGAGCAGGAGATGCAGAAAATATGTAGTTCTCTGTTACATTTCTAGCTATATCCCCACCCTGCTGACCCTTTCAAATGTCCCCCACCATGACTTTGGGTGGTATTTCTTTGATGCTTATAAACAAGGATATCATTTGCCATTTAGAAGAAGAAAGGAGCCTGGGACAGGAATAGATTTCTGCTGCTTTTGGGGGGGTTGCGATTGTTCTTTCCCCCCATTTGATTACAGGTCGGTATTCCAGCCTTAGGAATAAGATCCTGACAGATACTTTGGGGTTCCCTGATGTCCCTTACTGAGGGACACCCCACCAGTAGGGCACTGCTCCACAGCTTGCTGGCACTTGCAGGACTCGGGATAGGAAGGTGCAAGTTCTCCATCAAAAATACAAAAGAATTAGAGAACGGAGAAAATCCGAAGTGAAAACGAAAAAAGGTGCAGCTGACGTTTGGGGTGGTTAAAATGAAAAATGGAACCGTGCCATTCACAGGTGGATAAATAGATCAATCAATTGATCTCGTCTACACTGACACACTTTGGAGCTATAATTCACTGCTGGGGCAATTATTCCAGCATAGCGGTGGCAGGAGTGATATCAGAGACAGAATTCAGGTGCTTTTAGTCAGGGGAGAGTTGGACAAGAGAGGAGTGAAAATTGGTAAATGCCATCCAGCAGTAAAGATACATGGGATATAGGTTATGTCTGTGCAGTTGCAGAGGGAAAGATGGACAGAGAGATAAATAGACACATAAAAGTCCGAGTTTTGGTTGTGCAATCATTCCCTGTCTGACCTTATCCCTCGCCTCCTCTCCAGCTCTCTTAGAGAGAAGAGTGTTTAGCTTTATTGTGTCCCAGTCTCTTTGCCGTGTTACTGTTGACTTCTTTATCCCCCCGGCACTGAGAAAGTGGTGCTGCCCCTGGAATTTTTCTTCATAAGCCTTGATGTGTTCAAGAAAGGGCTGGGCTCATCTCCGCTCCCAGCCTGACAGGGGCTTTAACAGCCTCACAACAGCGGGACAAATAGCTCCTGGTCCCTTAACCCTTCTCAGCTTTGCAAGGCAAGGCCTAGAAACGTTGTTCCCATCGTCGAGGGCTTTAGAGGGTCTTTCAGGCTGAAATCCCCTCCGTGGTGGCTGGGCAGAGCGGAAATCCAGGGGCTGGATCAGATTGGCCTAATGCTACAGCAGCTTAAGCAGTCTGTTTTACCAGAGATTATGGTTTCACTTACACAGAGTGCCTGAAAAATGCTGCGGTTTAGGAAGGATTATAGCTGAAAATTCCACGCTTTAAAAGAGAAATAAAGCAGGGGAGGGACTAGGAAACCCAACAGTGCCTGGGGGCTGCGCAAACAGGATTAACCTCTGCCCATAGCACCTCTTGCTTCTGCCCACCCACGCTTCCTGTGTCCATCTTCTTCTCTGCCCTTCCTTCCCCAGCAGCTCCCCACACCTCTCTCTCTTGCATGGTCCAGAGGGTTGAAAAAGGAGCCCAGAAAATTCCTAGCACCAAAGTGTCCCAAGCTTATTTAAGTATGACTATCCAATGGCTTCCTTGAAAAAATATCACTTCACTTGCAGCCCCTGAAAGCTAGGGGAACTTCTGGCCCTCTGCCTGCAGATAGGTCTATTCATCCAAATTATCTACTGTCAACATTATTTGGAGAAAGGCTTCAGCGCTCCCGAACTGCTGGAGGTGGCTCTGCCTGTCTGGCCTGAAGGTAAATCTGTGCAGTCCTTACCATCTGATGACAGAGGATGCAGGAGAAAAAATAACTTTGGGGGGTTCTCCATCTACTGAGACAGGTACCAGCACGTGAAGGCTCACTGGTGGGGTTGTAGGATAGCATATAGTTGTAAAAAGTAGAAGCTGGGCACTGATGTGCTGCCTACTCTGGTGGTTTTAATTAACTGTGCAACAAGAACCAGATACTCCAGCTTCTATTCCCCATATCCTCCACAAAAGGTCACTGCCAAATAGGCCTTCCTATAGAAAAAAAGGAGGATAAAAGACAGTCCTCACTTAGCGTACCAGAGGCTTGACATAAATAAATTAAATAAAGGGGAACTGTGCACCTTTTGGCCAGGCCTGATCCTTCCCAATCAACCGAACCGTGAACATATGTCTTTGCCTCAAAGGAGTCTCAGTGATCAGAGACCTTTGCTGGCCATCCAGGTTAGAGGTACTTGGAGGAGAACACAGATGGCAAACTATCATTTTTGCCAGGGAGCAAACCTTTAGGAAACAAATGCCTCAGGATAAACAGCATTCGCAGCTAGAAACTGCCCAGCCCTTTATTGTCTAGGTGAGCGTTGCAGCCTCACAATAAGGTGCCTAGAGTTAATTAAGCCACTTCTACATTAATGAAGTCAGATTTATGACCTAATTATATGTCACATTTCTATTTCTCTGTATAAATCAAAACCACCAGAACTAACTTATTTCATAGGCCATTGGCAACACTTGCCATCACGGCAGAGAGACGGCTTTCATTTATTGGCTTTAATTTGTTTACCTGAGGGTGGATGGTTTGCGAGATGATTTGGATCGGATCTGATCACATCATCCATACTTCTCTTTCAGGTGTTCAAATACAGGACTCTATTACTGCTGACCCAACCACAGTGGGTGTTCTGGAGTACCCATGCTTTAGGTCACAAAGTTCTCCAATTCCTAAACCTCTTACATGACAGCCAAGTTAGGAGATCCAATGCAGAAATGGAGGTCCAATGCAAACATCAATGAAAATAAGACCTTTTATAAGTCCCCCATGTTTCCTCTCCTCCATCGTATCTCTCTGTGAAGGTATCTGTCAGGCAACACTATACTCTGGGAACAATCAGAGTCAGTACTCACTGCTTTTATGGTTAAAGCTCCAAAGTGTGCCACTGTGAACTAGATCAATTGATTGATCTATTCAGCCACCTATTAATTAAATATATACAGTCCCATTTTTATTTTAACCACCTCAAACTTCAGCTACACCTTTTTTGTCAAAGCTTTTACAGAGTTTGGCTTGAGAAGCTTTGGCCATTAGACCGAGCATCTCTCCTGGGGAAGGCTACCTTGGATTTGTAGAGACAAAGTGGTATCATTCCCTGGGCCAAACTGTGTAAGTGTAGCATCCTCGCATGCCCGCAGCCAGCCAGAGAAAGCAGCAGGAAAGGGAGCACAGAAGCTTCAGAGCATTCTTCTCCTTCCCAACCCCACGCTTCTTCCTGTCCTCCCTCTCCTGCATGTTCCCTCCCTCACCTCTCCTTTTCCTGCATCCCCTTCCTCCCATCTGCCACCGCACTCCATCCTCCTCCTCTCCCGCTGCCCCTGCAGAGGCATCCCTGCGGTCAGAGCCCAGCCCCCGGGTGCATTTACTGCTGTTGTCTCAGCAACTGGCTCCTCTGATCTACTCCTAACCTTTTTTATTTATTTATTTATTTATTATTATTATTATTTTTATTTTTGTTTTTTTAAATTAATTTCCCTGTAGATTTTAACCACTCCATTTTCATTTACCCGTTTTGTTCTTCCTCTCCTCCCTTCCCTACCCTCCTCTTCCTCCCCCCTGTTCCCTTTGTCTGTCTGTGTCCATCCCTTACCCTACCACAGAAAACCTCTCCTCTCCCCTCAGTATAAAGCAAGAGCCTCATGGAGCCTCTCTCACCCCTTTCACCCCCACCACGCCGGTCGGCTCTGGGCAGGCTGATCTTCAGCCCTTCCACATGGCCCTTTCAGACGATGCGTCCACGCCTTGCTACAGTGCCTTCCTTCATCATGGTGCCCACTTTGGGCAGTCCAGCAGCCAGCCTCTGATAGCAGGTAACTGGCCTTGGCCACCAACTCAAGTGGGGATGCTGCAGGCAAGGGGTTGAGTTTCGTCTGACGGGGAGGACCAGGAAATGCTGCAAGCTCTTTGCGTGCAAGTGGGAACCGGAGCAACCATGATCCATATCTGTGTACGCAGCACGTGTTCTCAGCTCCTCAGAGAGCCATGGAAAGATTTCATGCCTGTCCTTCCTTTCTTTTAAGAAGAAAATGGGAAAAGAAGCTGGAACTATCTAGAAGTGAACTGGGTGTCCCAATTGGATGGGTCTGGGACTTAGTGTAGAAACACTCGTACAGCAAAGTCCTGCGTTGCCTCAACAGCTGTAATGTCCCTGAGATCTGTAGGCCCAGGAAGGGTGTGATGTGCTAGTGTTGTCCCAAAGTCCATCACAAGCCTAAGGTAGGTGATAGCAGCTTGAATAATCTAGACCAGCTCCAGGACTGATGGGGTTGTTCAGCATGGGTTGTCCTAATTACTACATGAGATAAATACACAGGCAGTTGGGATAAATAGGATGTACATAAATAGAATCATAGAATCATAGGATGGTTAGAGTTGGAAGGGACCTTCAAGATCACTTGGTTCCAACCCCCTGCTCTGGGCAGGGACACCTCCCACCAGACCAGGTTGCTCAAAGCCCCATCCAGCCTGGCCTTGACCCCCTCCAGGGATGGGGCAGCCACTCTGGGCCACAGCCATAGCTACGGTGTGAGCAATATTTGAGTCACCAGGTCTGGGAGGATCAACATGAGCTGATGCCTTCACACAGCAGACCATGTAGTTTAGCACCAGCGCATCACATCTGAATGTCAAGACCAGGAAGGGTGGGTGAGAGACTATCATGTCTTACAGGCAATGGAATACACATCTGAGGTAGGTGGCCTTTAAGGGAAGGAAAGAAGTGAAGAATTAGGTTGCAGAAGATGGCAGCAGTTAGGAGCAGCAGGCTGGAGGAGAGGATGGGGAGGAAGGAAAAATTTCAGGTAGATACTAGGGGAAACTCCTTTGCAAGGTGACTGAAACAACATTGCTGCAGAAGCTCAGGGGTGGCTTGGATGAAATAGTAGGTATCATTTTAGGTGACCACTGAGGCTGTTGTCACTCCACCATCAAGGAATGTAATTTGGGCTTTTTCAGAACAGACAAAGTCTTAGTGCAGACCATAGTGCCTAATGCTCAGGAAACATAACCTCTGCCTCCTTCATGTTCCTACATTATTTTTCTCTTTTGACCTAACATCCTCCCTTTGACTTGTCAGGAGAGATTTGCATTTCTAAACCTCCCTGTAGGAAAGCAGCAGGTAACTGCAGAGAAGACTTTTGTCTTCATAACACTGTCTTGATCCGACCTTACTGCAGCCAGTGAGACCTCTGAGCTCTGGGCACTTCTAAGCCAAGGGGTCTCCTGCCAGACTCTCTCCAATCATATAGTTCTCTGGAGATGCACCCTCTAGAAGGCACTGTGTTTCAGGAGGCACCTGCCTTGGGACCCCTGTGGAGAATGAGACACGGGGAAAGCTCAAAAGCTTCAATGACACAATAATGAAGGTGCTGTTTCTCACTCAGAAGGCTCTTGGAGAAGAGAGAATGGTTGGAATTGTGAGAAGTGTGTTATGAGCAGGATAGGTGATAGCTTTGCCATAGCCCTGGAGTACAAGAATTTAATAATCCTGTCTACCTGCTGGTAATGGAAGGGGCCTGCTTGTATGTAACAGCATCTTAAGAGTCGCTCTGTGGGACTCTTCATTCACTTTGCTGATACTGCATGTGTTTGTTTGCCTTCTTTGTCAAGATTGGGATTTTGACAGATGATCACTTGCCAACGAGTTTTCCACACTGAGTTTTGAACGTCAGCCTCTGTGTGCTCGTGGCTGAATAAAAACACCGGGGCGTGTGTGCACAGACGGAGCAGCAGAGCGAGTGCCTGTGCTCCCACCTGAATGGAAGTGTCAAAATGAATTAATTTTGCCTGCTGCTACGTAGCGTTCTCTCTAACTTTTCAGTGACACTGTTTTCTCACTCATCACCTGTTGTTATTTCTCAGGCTAGTCGATAAAGGAAACCAAAAGAACATGAATTTGAAACATAAAACTTTCTTGCTTTAAAAGAACGTGAGAACAAAAGAAAGAACTACATCTAGCAGGTGTTAATCATACAGATTAACACACTTAACACACAGCTACAAATCACCAAAGAAATGATGGTGATAAAAGAGTAGTAGAGTGTAGAATATAAATCCCTGAGGCTTTATATATGTATTTTTTTTTTTATCAATATTGGGGAGTGGCTGGAAAACGGCTCAGCCATTGCCTGGTAGTTCTGTGCCGTTAGGTAAGAGGAGGAGAGTCAGGAACACCAGCCACTGATCAGGAACCTCTTCAGGGGAAAAAGAATGAACTTGGATTTCTTTTTTCTTGAGCAAATCACCTCGGTAATCTTTAGCCCAGACCTCTGAAAGCAACAACCCTGGTTTAGCCCACCTCATCCTAGAGAAACACACTCCCTTCAGGTTAATGCTCCGTGGTGATTAGTTTTTGTTTTGCTGTGTAACTTATTTATTCCCCATTTATTCCCCATTCCCCAGCCAAGGTTCGTGCCTGTTCCAGGCCCTGCTCTATCAGTTATCACTCTGCCACTAGCAGAGCTAAAGCAACTCTTATTCTTCTTTCATTGGCATATGACAGCACAGTTCCAGTGACTCCAGTGTTGGTAATGGGCCATACTTAACCTGTCACTTCTGAACCGGACTCCAGCCCTCCAGTTAGAACAGACAGGAGAGATAAAATTGAACAAAAGAACAACAAACGGCATGAATTTCTTGGTGAGCTACAGTTCACCTGGGGAACGTGAAAGGCTTTGGATGCCTGGAACAAGGCTGAGATCTCAGTAGGCAGCGCTGGAGGTTGAGCTGTAAATCTCCCAGCAGCTGTGGAGGAAAGATTATCTTAATTTATTTAGCCTTTTTTTTTTTTATTTTTTTTTTTCGGTTTTGGCTTGAAACTCCCAGCAGCTTCTGAGATGATTTTAGTTCATTTAAATGCAATAAGCGCTAACAGCAAATGCCCTTCTGGCTGGCCCATTTTCAGGCTAACCAGTCCAAATGAGGAAATGCCTCTGGCATCAACCAAGAAGCCTCCAGATGCACTTCCTAAGAGATGAAAAATAAACCACAACCGTCCACCCAGTCCACACCCCTCTCTACTTCTTTGGGGGGGAAAAAGATATCACAACTTGAAATATTACTAACAAAAACTTGCAATGAAGTGGGACTCAAGCTAATTCAAGTGATTCTATTATATATATATATATATATTACATCAGCAGCTGAAAGGAGTCCAACCACTATTGATCTTGTGCTAAGCACTGTGCAAATGTACTAAAAGTGTGCCCTTGCACCAAAGAGTTTGCAGCATAAAAAGAAGCCCAGAGAGGTGAAGCGACTCGCCTAAAACCATCAGCAGGTGAAGGGCAGAGGTGGGAAGAGAGACAGGCACAGAAAACTCTTGGATCGCTTTCCGATGCCTCGCACATTGATCATGCCCTAAAGCAACATCTCCACAGCTTTGGAACTGCATCCCCTGCACGTAGACAGGACCTCAGCTACTCTGGCAGCGAATACGCTGCCCTTCTCCGTGCAGCTCAGGGCCATTTTGATTTAGTTAACAGAGATCCAAAATCTACAGTGAAACAAAACAAATCCTTTTGAGCCTCACAAAGCTAAGTTTTAACATCCAGCCTTACAGTGTGAGATCGAAAGTGCCACAATCTTCCCCCAAAAATTTTCAGCGGATGAACAGCAATTAAGAGAAGGCTGCACGGATTTGCCTGTCAAGCTGCTAGTCGTGTGACGGGGGGAAAAAAGGTGGTATCAAATCAATATTGAAAGACCTTATCCCTGTTGATCACCTGTCCTGATTCTTCCCCTTTCCAGGTCGTGATATGGCAAGCACCACCTTGCCTGGTTACCCACCCCATGTTCCCCCGACTGGACAAGGCAGCTACCCAACCTCAACTCTTGCAGGAATGGTTCCTGGTAAGTCAGCCTCCAGACCCCAGTAATGGTGCAGACATGTCTACTAGCATTGTAAGAGCTTCCACAGTTGGCTTTGCTGATATTATGCTCTATTTTTTTCATAAAAAAATCATCAGGTGCCTATAAACAACATAACTAACAACCCTTTCTATAACGTGGCTCTTTCCCCCTAGTAACTGATTCACTGCTGCTATGGGCAACTAGCTATCTATAACCTGTGGCAATTAATTGGTAATTAATTAACCTTAGTATTCATTAACTAATGTAATTATTTTCCAATGACCCGTGCAGATTATTATGTACTGCTCGTGGCTCAGGGTATTCAACTATCCACTAACTTAGGGTAACAACTTCCCTTCTATCTCAAGCCAGGGCATCAAACTGACAATCACCAATGGTAATTTAATACCTGCAGGTTTTGGACACCTATTGTCCAGAGCCTAAACGAGCTGAGAACTCAGCAATGATTAACACCATTTCAGGAGAAACTAACTATTCCCTTTCAACAACCACGTCCGGTTTGGAAGATAGTGCCTCCAATCCAAGAAACTATCTACATAGTCCTACATCCAAAGGCAAATTGTTTCTTTGCTACCCAATGCCTTTGGAGAAACACCTTCTCTTGGCAAATGGATTCTCCCAGTGTCCAGGGAGAAGAGAGAGAGGACCGTGTACCCAAGGGCAACTGGGGAGTTTTTTTCCCCAGGTTCTATTCTGCTCTCCTCTGATGACAGTTATCCCCAGTAGACAAATGAAGAGACAGGATTGTTTCTCAGCCATGGTAGCTCAGAACTTCATCTGCCACTGCCTTCTGTTCCCGTTACCACCCTGGGCTGTGAGTCGTGGTGGCTAACGAGCCAGTGGTACACAGGCCATTCTGCAACCTCTGCTGCTGGAGGGGTGACTCCAGCACTGAAGCAGAAGAAAGTCTGGGGCTGCGCTGTGAAGATGATGTGCTTGACCTCCAGATCAGGAAAAGATAGTGGATTGGTCCTCTCCTCACCCCCTCTTTAGTCCCCTCGTATGGTTGAGCCACTTGCTGAACTTTTGGGGTGGTGCAGATTTGGCAAATTTTAGGGCATCTCCTTCTACACTGAATTTTCCCAGGAGATGGTTTTGCTCCAGAATCAGAGCAGCACTAAGACAATGCAAATCAATTAAATCCCCCCCTCCCCAGCCCTGTCAGTAACAGCAGGTAGATTCAGTTGTCAACATTTAAGTCAGTTATAGGTCAAAACTTAGGGAAGGTCATGGCATATAGAAATGATTAATAACACCAAAACAGTTGGTTCTTTGAACAGGTACTTCTAAAAACCAGGCTCTTCTCAATTTCTAACTGTTCTCACTTAACTGTTCAGTGACTGCCATGTAAGTTTAACATCCTCATCACAAGGATGATACTGACATCTAAACTGGGACAAAAAGTTCAAGAGGACTAATCACTAATCCACTTATTTCAGCTCCTTGATGTGGAGGCTACTTATCCATTAGACAGCAGTGTCCCCAAAACCACAGAAATACCCACCAAAAGAAAAGGAACAGGATGATAAAGACAAAAGTTGAGTTATAATTCAAAGGAAAAAAGGTTATTCAAGTCACATGGGTATCTTTACATTAAATCTGATGTCAACATTCAATTAGAGGAAGTTTTTCCAGTGGCTGATTTGGGCATCCTGCAGTAGTTACTGCATCTTTCCAAAGAGCATCAAATTCTGGCTGTTTCAGTCATACCCCACTGGTCAGCCCCAGCCTGGCAGCCCTTCCATTCCTGTCTTCTAATGTGACTGAAGCCAACAAGCTGGAGATAAAGAGGCTTCCTGGGAAGGAACATAAGACTTGGCTTTAATGGGTCACACTGCAGATCTCTGCAGCCACTGCTCTCTGTCAGGAGCCAACAGCGAATGCCTGGGGAAGGGTGTAAGAGCAGAGCAAACACATATTGGTACTTTTTCTAAAAATCTCCCAGCCTCCAACAAGTTGCAGCTTAGAGACTTCCTAAGCCAGACTTAGCATCTTTCTATTTAATATTAAACACCCTCAATAGGTTTCCCCTCCACAAACTTAAACAGTGGAGGGGAATATAAGCTTTTAACATCTGCAACAACCTATGGCAAGAAGTTCTGTAGCTTAACTACATATTGTGTGAAAACTACCTCCCTTATTTGTTCTGAACCTGCCACCTGCTAGGCTCACTTCATGCTTCATGGTTTCTGTATTAGAAGACTAAACGTGCCAAGATTTAAATACAGATACCAAGAAATACTGTTAGTAAAGGTTCCCAGAGCACAGATTGCACAGAATATAGGCCTCATGAGATCGATCCTCTGTGCTTGCCTGCAACCTCTGTTAAGAGTCCAGGTTGAACAGAGAAAACAAATCTGATGTGGCCTCCGGTTTGTTACGTGCCCCCAGGCCAAGAAAGATCAGGGGTCAGTGTTTTAACTCCACTGGAAACAAGAAGCCAGAGAGATGACCACTCAGGGAGCACCTTTTAGAAAAATACTGACACACAAACAAACCTTATTGTCTAGATATGCATGAATATGAGAGAGCCTCTGTCTTCTCTGAATAAAGGTGGGGAGCTAAAAATAGAACTGGTCAGAAAGCAGAATTTCCAACCCATGCAAAACTCTGATTTTTCTGACATTTGTTTTCAGCTTGCGTTGGGATGAGGAGTCAGAATCTTGAAATAGTTCAATTTGCAAACATCAGGACGAAACATTTCAATAACGTCAACATGTTCTAGATGTCAAGATGTATTAAAATAATAAAAGAGTTGAAAGGAAATTAAATGAGATGAGAAAGGCAAAATGAAACAAAACAAGAAAGTTGAAACATAATGCTTTGTTTCAATTTGCAATCATTTCAGAACTTTCCTTTCCAGAACTCCATTGAAGCCGACAAGCTCGTGCAGAACATTTCCATTTCGATGAGACAGCGTTTTCCAGTGGAAAACTGTTTCTGAGAAGATTTTTTGACCAGTGCTAACCAAAGCTGCTCTGTGCTATCCCTGACAACCTTTCACTAGACTCTTACTTGTACGGTCTAGCGAAGAGCTTGTCTCTGGTAGCAGTACGTCCATGCACCGTGGTCAGTCATGCACGCAAAGATCTCTGAGGTTTATGTGGGTGATGCAGTAAGAGATATATATCCTGCGTTTGCCCTTGCCTGTAACTTCAGGTCCCGGGCTGTAGATGTGGATGAAAGCCAGTTGTCTCTGAGCACACACTTAAAAAAGCAGGGGGTTTAGTCACTCAAAGAAGGATGATGGTGCTACACTTAACCTACGCCTCTGAGAGATGGTTCCTCCACAGGTAACAGAGCACCTTTGATCCCCGTCCCGATTCTTCCTCCTTCCCATCAAGTTTCTGCAAACTGCTTTGGTGAAGTCGAGCATCCACTGAAGGGAACTGCAGTTTCCACAGAGGAGGGTAGAGCCCGCAGAGGGTGATGGCAACGGCAGGGAGTCGTTAAACAGAATCCAATGTTGATGAGGAAATTACACTTGTTTCATTAGTGATCGGGGAAGGCGATAGCTCAGTTCCTCTTGGTCACAGTTGAGCTCAAAAGCTCATTATCCTGCTGCATGCATGCTTTCACTCCTCGTCAATAAACACTGGTTCCAGTGGCTGCCCTCCCTCCTCCCCAGCTCTCCATAGCCGGGGCTCTTTCTCCTCTACTTAACCCGTGCTTTAGAAACACTATAAACAGTTTAGGGTGACAACTCAGGAGAGGGGGAGAGAGAAGCCTTGAAATATCAGAACTTCTTCTCTCCACGCAGAGAAGCGATGTTTATACGAGGCATTTCAAAGCAGAAATTCTCATCTGGATGGTTTTTTTTTTTCCCCTCTTTGGGAGGCAAATTCATTCCAGTACATCCCCCAGATAAGTCACTTCAGTAGAGATAAATCTGGACTACACATTGCTTTTTGCCTTTGTATCCCACCCCACAGCATCTTGGTCACCGGGGCAGGTTTCACATCTTCCTTCCCAGGTAACAGGTAATTTTTAGCACAGGATGTTTCTGGATATGGAAACGTGCTGAGTTCTCATCATTAGAACAGATTTAGCAAGGGCTGCGGCTCAAAATGAGGTTTTATGCTGAAACTGAGAACTGCTGTGGCTAAAATACCTTTGGATGGTGATTCATTTTGATTCATAGACATTTTTGTACCGACTACTTTGGTTATTACCCTGAAGGTCTTTAAAAAACCTGTCTGGACAAACTCTCCTCAAGTTTAAACCAGTGCAAATCCCCTGACTTCAACAGACTTCGTTTCCACCACCTGAGAATCCATGGGTTTGGCTTTAACTCTTTGGTGAAGGGAGATTTGCAGAGATTACAGTATAATTAATTGACATTTCTTTGGTAATTGTATCACAGGCATCCAGTGCCTCTTGCATTGCCTTCTTTCTCTATTCCATGCTATCTAGAAGGAACACCAGGTGCTTTCCAAACACTTCTGCTGGAACAACCCCACCTCCACCTCAGGGCAGACCAGAATTTAATAGTCACATTGTTCTTTCATTGTCTTCTAAGCGCATAATGCCTTTCAGATGGCACTAATTGTCCCCAGCCTGTTGGTACTGCGTTAAATTGAGGTTATGATCAGTTAAGGACATGTTTTTACTTAACAGAATCACATATTTTTAAGTTTTTGGAGATAAAGAGTAAGAAAAAGTGATTAATATGCTTTTCATTTTGTTTTATATTTAAGCCCAACCTACTCTCAGAACATTTCCAATAATGAATTATACTCTTCTCCACAAATCCATCCTCACCCTCAGTACCCTAGAAACAAAACTTCGCAATGCATATTGCCATCAACAGCTCTGCCAGTTCCAATGAGTTTATTCTGGGCTTGTCCCATCCAATTCCCCTGCCTGCTCTCTGGACACTACTGGAGAACCTTAGATTTTATTCAAAAGAAAGCTGATAAATTAATTGCAGAAAAAGCTGCCATACACAATCCTACTGCAACTCGAGAATCGGAAGACAATTCAAAATAAAGCAGTTTCATTATTTCTATTATGGAATTTCATTATTTTAACCTAATTTTTGATCCTGAAGAGGTCAATCTTATGATTTTTAATTGTATGGACAAGTAACATTGCGCTGAACAAACACTGCAGTGTCCTGGAGGGCACAGTCCCAGCTGGGTGAGGCAGCGAGAGCCACTAGTTTTCCTGCCAGCATACGGATGAACGCTGGTTTGATGGAAGAGCAGGCATAAATCTTCATTTTTAACCCCATTCCACACCTTCCTTGCTTTCTTCCAGGGAGCGAGTTCTCAGGGAACCCCTACAGCCACCCTCAGTACACAACCTACAACGAGGCCTGGCGGTTCAGCAACCCTGCATTACTAAGTGAGTACCTCTTTCCCCCAGCACGCCCCCAGCCTCGCGCTCCTTCTGTTTGTCTCTTTGTTTTCTTTTGGTTTGGTTTGTTTTCATTTGTTTCTGAAGATGGCTTTCAAATATTTGGCCAGGTGAGAGGCCTTTTTCCTCACTCTCCAGTCCAGTCTCTAGATGGGTTTATACCTCACGTGTGTTTTGTATCTGTTCTGAAGCTGATTCCTCTTCTGCAAGAGGCAAGAATTCCAGTTCAGCTCTGTCTTCTCCGTGGCCTCCAACCACGTTTTTTTCCAGATGAGATCAGAAGTTAAATTCAGGTTCTGCTACTCTCTTAGGCTGTGATCAGCATCCATTCAAGGTTTGATGAAAATTCCAGATGAGATTTCACTCCTCTCCCAAGCTAAACCCACAGTCAGTTCCCAGGGATCTGGAAATCCCATAGAAGTTCTTCCTATCAGATCCATGGAACAGTGTCCAGGCTGCATCACTAGGTTTATAATAGCCACCAGAGTTTTCTTGGAGGGGTAGATCCATCTCCAGTGACTCTAATATGCCCAGAAATAGTTTTTTTTCAGAGGGGAAAAAATCTCCCATAAGACCATATATCCTAACACAACGTTTCTTTGCAAGGGAATAGGAAGAGATTTATTATATGTAAAATAAATCAGCTGTGATTATTAGCTACGTATTTACTGAGGTTTAACAACTGGATAATAGATGCCCATTTTATTCCAGCGTTGTTAAACCTCAGTAAAAGTGATCTTAATAATCAATCACTATTTAACACACATTCAATAACCATCTTGAGAGCTTGCACGCCAAATGCGACCAAAATTTCAAACAACAAAACACTGTAATTCTGTTTCATGTCCCCCCTCCTGGTTTTAAGCGACCTGCTGTACAGGTGTGCTCACAACATCTGGCCCCCACACTTCCCTTGTGGCTGCAGCTCAGGTGTGGCAGATTCGTGCTGCGTTGCCCATGGGCTTCCCTCTTGGCAACTTATGGATGGCCAGAAGGAGCAAAAAAGATCTCCTTCCCGTAGAGGGGCTTCAGAGCCAGAGGCCATGGTAGTGACTGTCCACTGAAATGTGGCTCTTGGCTGCCTTCTGCTAATTGCCTGTCCCTAATCCCCTCAAGAGCCGAGTCCCCAAGTTTGTTCTTTTGGTTCCTTTCCTTTCTTCCTTTCCGTTCCTTTCCTTTCCTTTTCAGTTCTCCTTGGTTTCTTTTTCTTCGTTTGATTGTTTTTGGTTTTGTTCTTTTTTTTTTTTTTTTTTTTTTTTTTTTTTTTTTTTTTTTACTGTTTGTCCTTTCAACCAGTCCATTCTTCTCCTGTGTTAACTTTCAGGTTCCCCTTATTATTATAGTGCCACATCCCGGGGCTCCGCACCTCCCACTGCTGCCGCTGCCTATGACCGCCACTAGTTACCATGGAAACCACATGAAACTGCAGGGCGACAGCTTAGGCCTCCACATTGTACCTGTCTGATCACCTCCCTCCATCCCTGGGAAGGGTGAAGACACCTTCTCCGTTCCTCCCCACAGTCCAGTTCCTTCCTCTTCGTCACGAAGGCGCCGGACCAAGCGCTCACCACTCGAGACTAGGGGAAGGAGGGGAGAACACCGCTCATGAAACACTGTTCCCCAAAGATGTGCTCTTCTGTGGTGGACTCTTCAACATGGGTAACACCCACGATGCTCACCCTGTTCCCCAGGATGGAGGGAACAGCCTGGCTTAGAGCAGAGATGGTGGTACAGAGACCTGGGCCCGTCCAACAAGGAAGAAAAGGACCAAGTAAACTTATCTGCATCCCCCCAACTCGAGGGGTTCTCTGTGCACCTCATCCCCACTCTCCAGCGTGGCGTGTGTCCCCCCCCTCCCCCAGATTTGGCTGCATTTCCCCCCCCTCCCCAACAACGTGGTGGTGACTTTGCAGGCCAGAGTCGGGAGGAACCTCACACATAACACCCACAATTTTCTGTGACACACAATCAGCTCAGACAGGAGGATGGAGCAACGCTTACAAACCGACCGACGAAATGAAGAAATATATAAATAGATATATAAATATAACTGTGTTTTTATGCTTTGTCATGAAGGTCTGTAAAAAGGAAAAAAAAAAAAAAAGAAAAAAAAAAAAGAACCAATCCCCAATTTTCTAAAAAACCCAAGCAAACAAAAACAACAAAAAAACCAAAATAATAATTAAAAAACCCTACAAAAATAAAACTCCAAATCCCATCCCTCCCCGCCACCTGAATGGCAGACGAGTTCCTCTGACGTTTGATGCTCCTCTTTCACTCTAGGGTTTTGTTTCCTTTCTGTTTTGCACTACAATGGGATGGTGGTATTGGAGAGGATTGGATGCCAGCTCCACCCCTGTCGCCTCCTCCTCCTCCTGCCCCTTTCCCAAATCCTGTCTCTGGGGAGCAGTGTGGACAAGTCACATCTGACAAAGTTACCAAACACATCAGTCGACAACAAAAAAAAAAAAAAAAAAAAAAAGGCACTCTTGAGTCAACAAACGTTTTTTTTTCCATGTCACTGGTTGGCAAACAAAGAAAACAAGCCCAGCTGCGCTCTAACTGCGCTGTGTGGTGGAAAGGAAAGTGTGGGGCTTCATGTGGGCCCACCCCATTGCCCTCTGGACAGCTGAGACGGAGATGGACAAATTCAGGATTGGCTGGGATTATTGCTTGGTTCCCTGGCCCTTAGCCGCCGCTCCTCCTTCCCTTAACCCCTCTACCCGTGACCACTCCAGTTCACCCACATCCCAACTTTCGCAATTTTAGATACATTCCCACACCCATTTCTCCAGATCCCCACAGCCGGTGATGACAGCCTCATTATCTGTGCCCAACATCTAATTTCCTAATTTCCTAACCACTATAGCCTCGCTATATGGGCCCCCTTCGACCCCCAGTCCATCTGCTCATACACCTCCTCATTTATAGGTCTCCATCCAATTCCATACGCCTGCATCCTATCAGCCAGTCCCAACCTACAGCCCCATCTTTTCATCTTCAATCCTATATTGTGCACCCTAATATTTACCCCTTAATCCCAAATGCTCACCTGATGATTCTCTAGGGATTCTCTGCTCTTTTTGGTTCCCAAGTGACTGGCAAACACTGTTCTGCAAAAGGCTAACTGTCAATAGAAATGCTTATTACTTCTGTATCGTCAGCAAACTCTTAAAAACTGTTCCTTGCACTGACACTTCCTAAAAAATACTCCAAGAAAACACGAAGGCAGCTATAGCCTGTCCCCAGGGCATCAAGTCTGCCAAAATAGATCCTTGTTGTTTTAGAGAGGTTTCAGCTAAAACTCGTGGGCTACTGTCCACGGACAAAGACAGGATTGAGAATCAAATCATCCCCCCCACCCCTGAAGGGCATAAAAGTGACCAGTGGAGCAATCTGTACAGCCAACATTGTGTGTGAAATCCCGAGCTCCCAGCCTCGGAGGAGGTGGCGGTGGTGGACTCGGTGTTCTGTCTCCAAGTTTAACTTGTATTGTATGAAATCCATCACCAGTAAACGGCTGTGTTGATCCCAAAGGCCCCTCTCACCTTAACACTTTTAGCCCTTGCATGGCTCTAGCTGATTATAGGTCTGTGTCTTCTTTAACGGGATGCCCAAACGCTAAAGGGTATTTGGGGGGGGGAGGGGGAATCTTTACATAGAAGATATAGAGCTAAAATCTGTTCCTGTACAGAATAAAATCAAAGAGGTTACTCCTCAGCTATTAAAAGTGTTATTCCGCATGTCTTACCTCTGAGTAACCTGCTGCAAATAGCAGAGTTGTTACACCCTCACCGAGACCACAATTTGGCCCGTTATCTCATCTTATTCTATACGAGAAGAAAATTCTGAGTAATTTCTAAAACTTTACTTTCGCCACTCCTTCTGTTTTCCTCCACGGACACCGGACAGATGCTGGACCCTGTTAGTAAAGTCTCCCTTTTAGTCTCCCAGTACAGCCTTTCCTCCCCTGGTGTACCACCTCAGCGGGTGGTGGGGGCAGAGGCAGTAAATCCCAGGAGCAGCCACAGGAAACCCCCCACCCTGAGGAGGCTAGAGAAAAGGAGACCCTCACGCCCCACACTTGGCAACCTGCAGCCCAGGGGCCACCTCAAGAGAAGGTAGCAGCTCCGAAACGCTGGTATTTATAACGGTGTTTCGTTAAACTGGAGACACGAGGTGGGGTAGGAAAGCAGGATTTGGGTTGGCTCACTCACGGCTGGCTTGATTTGACCCTCGGAGGGCCAAATCCATTGTTGGTGTAACTCCACTGCTACAAAGAGGATTTCCACCAGGCATTGGATTGGGCTGGAAAAGTTCCTAAAGTACGGCATGTAGTTCGACCACAAAAAAAAAAAATTAAAATGAAAGCAGAATTATGCAAAGGACTGGGCAGTCTAATCCTCTTCCACCACCATCTGTAGACCCCCCATGCGAATGTACTGAATTACATTTGCCAAAGAGTTTCTTGTGTTGGTTGTTTTGATTTACAGTCGGTGGATGCATTGTAAAGCAGTATTATAGCTAAAGTCTAGTAGCTGACACAGGGATTTATGTGGTGATATTATGCAGAAGAAAACCATCAATATTCATATAGATTCCATTAGACTGGACTATGCAGGAAACGCAAAAATTCTACCAATTATTTAATATTATGTTATTTGCAAAAACAATTGCTGCTTTGTAGGAAGATAATGTGTGTAATGTGAAGGCAATTCCTCTTGTATATAAGTTCATCTCCATCTTCATCATGGTAGTTATTAAAACAGCCTCGTCTCATCCTGTAGATAAGGAACACGCTGTCTGTACTGTGCAAGTCTCGTTGTGCTCACTGAAAACAAAACGATGTGTTCAATAAAGCACAGCACAAATCCAGAACCTGAGGGAACAGCCAAACCTTGGAAGGATCCCCTTCCCCAACAGGCCAACAGTTGCTTTGTTATAGGTGGATTTTTTTTTTTCTTTTTTTTTTTTTTTCCATTTTTCTTGAAAAAGTTTTACGGGAAAAAATGAAAAGGAACTGGAGGAAGAAATCACTATGCAAAATCCAGTGAAGTCCATGACTTAACGTCGTTTTCTTTTTTTTTTTTTTTTTCATTTTTCTTGAAAAAGTTTTACAGGAAAAAATGAAAAAGAACCGGAGGAAGAAATCACTATGCAAAATCCGGTGAAGTCCATGACTTAACGTCACTCTCCTCCGATCTGCTGTCTCTTCCCTTTCTCCCATTTCTTTCTCACACCCTCTTTCCATTCCATTTCTGTTTCTCTCTTTTATTATTCTTCATTCCCAATGCACTTTTCTATCCAGAGAGGGAACGGCATGACTGAGATGAGAGCAGGTATCTGGGAACTCAAACTCCCCAATTCTCCTCGTGGCTCTAGAGAACCTTTGTCAAGTCCAATTTCCCCCCTATGCCTCAATTCCAATCTTCTGTAAAATGGGGATAACAATAGTTCCCAGTTCACAGGGGGATTGCACAGCTGAATTAATTAGCACCGGCTCAGTGCTTTGAGATCCTGGAAAGAAAATTCTATCAAAGTGTTAAGTATTATTCTGAATAATAATGAATGTTTCCATTACATTTCTCTCTTTTCCTTTTTCTCAACAAATCATTCTTCGGTTCTTTATTTGTCTTCCTTAGCTCTCCTTTCACTTTTTTCTTTTCCTGTCACTCTTAGCTCTGTTCCCATGTTTGCTTTATCTAATGGACCAAGCAGAAACGTGTGACTGGATCTCCTCCTCTCACCATTTTTTTCACGGGGGAAGAACCTCGTGGGTTCTCCAAGGCCATGCTTCACTGGAAGCAACAGGGACCATGGCATTTCAAGCTGGGTGGCACTTTCAAGGTCTGTTCTCTGAAGCTCCCACATCCTTCTGGCCCAAAGGGACGCGGGGCAAGAAGGAGGGAGGTTTGCACAGGGTGGATGCATTAAAGCTGACACCCTTGTGATCTGTAAATCTGTTTGGGGAAGGTTGGTGGAGATGAGCCCTGCTGTGGGAACAGGGAGAAGCCTGCATGCTTTCTGACCCATTGGTAGCGATGGTACAAATTGAGAGTAAGACTTCAGAATTAATCACAACATGAACGTGAGGATGTTAAACGACAAAAGGAAAACATAAAAAAAAAAAACCCACCCTGCACCTCTTTCTCCTCTTGAGTATATAATTATATATGCACATAAACGTTTTCCTAAAGGAATTTTTGGTTTGCTGAACTGTTGGAAAAATCCCACCCTTTTTGTCCCTAAGGAAAAGCACCCCTCTGGGAAAAGAAGTAAGAATCGTAGCTGCCCCCTTTGGCACTGACAGAATGAGGGCTTCTGAGGGACCCCACAAACCCCACAGTGTGCTCCTTGGCTGGGCCCAGGACGGTGGCAAACTTGCAAAGCAGGAAGGAGGGACCAAACAATGACAATGACAGAAGTGATGACAAATCCAGCGGCCAGCAGCTCTCCGATGCTCTCCAGGCTAAGCTAGACACACGACAGGGGAGGGGGACAGTGCCAGGTGCAGGGTCAC